TAGATTTTGCTGGACAGATGCCCTTACTGTGTCACGTACCATTTCATTTGGATCGTTTCCTATTCAGTGACCTGAGCGTTACTTTCGCTTGCTCTGTTTCATATAATTCCTTGCAGTTGCAGAGCTGTACATTGATGCTTTTTTTAGGGTCTGGTCACTCCTAGCATGGTGGGAGAGTGAGCTCTGCACTCTGCAGAGCAGTGCAGGCTGTCTCCCTTGCCTCTGTGCTGCAACTCTCTTGCTCGTTCCATCACAGAGTACTTTGAGTACTTCGCTCCAGACTTCACCCTTCATCCTGACGTCAGTACAAGGATTGAAAATCAGAACTCCAGGCAGGTAAGTGCTTGCAGCCTTATTGCAGTATCAGCTATGTACTTCCAAAACCCCATGGTTGATGCTCAGTCCTGTGAAACCAGGCAGAGCCCAGGCAAGGAATTCTTGCAGGGCAGAAAACTGATGAAAAACAAGCAGCACCTTTCCTCTGGGATGTCGGAAAGTCTCATAGTATTTGAGAACCTTGCTGAGTTGTCTTACTGTTTCTTTTGTGCTTGAGTATCAATGACTAAATTAACTCTCCTACCTCCTCTGCTCTGATAAATAGCTTTCTGCATAAATTTTTCTCATGGCCACCACATAAATGATGCAGGCAGATAGCAGTGCTAACAATTGTGGCTCTGTGCAGACTGCCAGATCTCACTGTGGTCATCCCCCTCTGTTTTTCCTATGTAGTACTTGGATCAGATCAGGCAGACGATATTTGAAAATCTGAAAATGCTGAACCATGCTCCCAGCGTGCAGATCCATGATGTCCCTTCTGACTTGCTCAGCTACGATCGCACAGATGAGCCTGATCCAGAGGAAAGAGGCTCTGAGGAAAACTACAGCAGGTACCAGATCTTGGTCTGGAGAAATGGGCTTCCCTTTCTGTCCCTGCTAGGATGGGTAGATGATATACCGGAGATTTTTTCTAGAACAGTCACTTCTGAGGCTCTAGTTTTATCCAAGGAGCGAGTCTCTAGAAATGTATGATCTCCTCAGATAACATTTCACGGGGGGTTTGGGTGCAGGGCATCTTCTGACCCTTGGCAGTGTGACCTTGGCATTCTTCTCTGGCCCTAAGGGTGCCAGGGCTCTCCTTGCTGATGGTGATTGTCTTTTCCCTCAGGCCTGAAGCTGCCAACGAGTTTTATGATGGTGACCACGATAACGACAAAGAGAGTGACGTAGAGATCTGAGGGCTCTGGTGTGGGGCTCTGGACTGTGGGGGGTCCCGCATTGGACATGGGTGCTTGGAGCAGGTAACTGGGCCATATAGAAGCCAGTTAGCCCTCCCCTCGTATTTGATTGCGTCTGGTGTTAGCAGAAACACCACCGCATCAGTCTTCTGCTACCTGGAGAGGCAGATGAAATGTGTTCCTTCCTTTCCACCACATGTCACGGTTCCAACTGTCACCACTCCGGGAAATGGAAATTCAAGTAGCGCTCGAATCTGCGCCGTGTACTGGCTGGCAGCCGTACAACTGCCTTCAGAGCCTGACCCAGGCTGGTTCAGTCACCTCCTGTAACTCCCATGCAGGCTTCTGCCAGCGAGGTGGGAGCTGGAGTGGTTGTGCCTACAATCTCTGCCTCTCTTCAGCAGCAACACCCGATGTATCCTGCTCTCCCCAGCCCCTCCGCTCAGGTACCCAGTCGACTGTCCTCTGAAGCCTGCACTGAGGGTTGCTTCCTCATGTCCCCTCTAACCATCTGATGCTCTGCAGCTCGGGGAAAATTATTTGTGAAGACACGGCCAGTTGTGGGATGGGGTCAGGAGTGTCTCTGGAGCAGGGAACAAACAGCTCACTGGAGCAGGATGGAAGAAAGTATGCGGAGCATAGTCTTGTTCATTCCCCCTGATACTCAGTTTTGTGTTCACAAATGAGTACTGCAACACTTTGCCAAGTTGGACCCAACTTCCCTGTTTTCTGTATTCTCCAAGAGGCTAAAATCACTGTGGAACAGAGGTTTGGCTGCCAAGGTCAGTACATAGTGTGTCTTGAACCTCTAATGTAGCTTCCAGCTGTATTTTCCAACTTTCTTCTCTGTGTTAGCAAGAGAGATTGGGCTGCTTGCTCGGAGTGGAAACCATTCCCTCTTGACTGTACCCAGGAGATGTTTCTCTGCTGGTGGGTGAGGGAAGCTGCTTCCTCCAAGTCCTGTCTTCTTGCCCTCACACAGCAGAAACTTCTCTCAGCCATCCCTCAAATCCCAGACTTTGCTGCTCCTTCTCCCGAGTCATCACCTGGTACCTGTCATGGTTCAGAGTGTGCTGTTTGGGGAGGCGGGAGGGGTTTTGCCTCTGTCTGTACTGTTCTGTTTGTTTACTGATGTCTTTAAACATTAAATGAAGAGGCAGTATTTTTCTTACCTGACCTGTTGTTCGTCTGTTTAATGCTCACACCTTTTTGGCTCCTGCCCTCCCAAGGATTGAGAATGTGCGTATCGTCCCCGGCAGGGCAGTGTCCTCCACTGTCTGACCTGTCTGAACGAACAGCAGGCATTCAGCTGCTCAGAGGGTATGCTGGTGAGTTTTCAGCCTCAGTGCACAATGAGGACAGCGCCCTGAATTCCCTCGCAAGAGGACAAGTGGGCTGGTGGACACTCCTGCTTATGCCTCTGATCCTGGTAAAAGTTTTGCAGGAAGCTGCAGATTGAAGAAACCTTTCCTGCGATGGGTTTAAATATCATGATTTCTTTGAGTTGCAATTGCTGTAAGAGTCTGCTTTTTGCAGTCTCACTTTTCTAAAGCCCTTGTGGGTGACTTTATTTCTTTGTTTCTAGACCTGTTGCTATCTTCCTTCGCTCCCCCTCCCCAGGCCCAGGACAAATAAGCTCATGCTGGCCTGCGTGATTGTCATTCCTCTTGCAGCTAGTCTGGCAATAAACCTGTGGAAAAACAAGAAAGGTAGAAAAGGAAAAAGATAGCGAACTTGGGAGGTGAGGGCTGGAGACACCAACTCAGCCAGGTCTGTTGATGTGTTTGCAGCCGATGCCTGTTCCTGTTGGGATGTTTACACAACCACCAGCCCAAGGCTTCAGCTTTGTGGGATAGAGGTAAAGCTTGGCCAGAAACGAGCTACAGTTCATTTAACTACAGCGTGAAGCAGGTAGTAAGTCAGTGTTACTCCCACTAGGTGCCCAGAGAAAAAAGTTACGGTAGAATTAGACTAGGTGCAGAGAGGGATGATAGCACAGCTCCTGTATGAGGAGTGGCTCAATGGATGAGGATTCTTAGCCGGGAAGAGAGAGCTGAGATGGGAAAGAGTTTGCAAGGTCTATAAAACCACAAATGCTGGACAGGGTTTCTCCAAATAATTAGAGGAGAATCAAATGAAACTCACAAGTGGCCAGCTCATAAGAAAGCAGTTGCTTTGCACACACCTAGTAGAACCCCTGTTTGGTCAGCTGTATTTGTTTTTAGTATTCTGTAGCTGAGAAAATGTTCTCTGCAAACCAGAAGACACAAAGGCTGCTCTGTTGACTAGCCAGACTTGTGAAAAAGAAATGCTTGTGTCTTGAAAAGAAAAGAAACTTAGTTTATTCTGGCTGGCCATCTCATCTGGTGTCAGAGAGCTGGCTTGTTCTCTCTGCTGCTGCCATCACCCCCTGTAGCAAAACGGATTTACAGGGGGAATCCAGGCTCCCACCTTGGGTAGCAGGCAGTGTTTGGTTTTAGGAGGGGGTGGAATTCCTCACCTTGTAATTCTCTTTCACCTGAGAAGATGTGAATGACCTTACCTTGCAAGTACCCCAGCCAATTCTTCCCCCCAGCACTCTCCTGGCTTTTCTTTTCAGAGCCTTGCTATCTCCTGTGATCTGAAACAGGGCTGGAAGTTTGGAGTATTGTCTTACCTGGGTTTCTAAAGGTGGATTTGTTTTAGGGCTTGGCGGTTTGGTTTGGTTTTTATGGAAGTCGTTAGGAAACAAGTTCAGGCTGTAAAGACATCTATTCTATTTATTTTCCGTATTGTTGTATTTTTGCACTGCACCAGAGCTGTCAAAAATAAGAAAGCATGCACTGCACTTGCTATCCAATATTGCTGTGTTAGGCCAACATTTATCCCTGGCAGCGCCCAGTCACCCGTGCCTAGTGCCGGGGTAAGACCAGGGTGAGCCTGAACCCCCAGCACCCCCCAAATATCCCAGAGAAGGTGGCAAACCTGCACCATTGGAGCCGTGGCTGACGCTGGAAGGACTGGTAGGCTGCTCCCTAAAACAGGACCGGCTGGCAACAACTGGAGCTAAATGAGGCTCCATTTAATTATCGGGGGGCACGGATGCCCGCACCCCTCTGGGAAGTCACGGCGGTTTCTAAGGGGCGGTGACGGACGGGCAGCGGGGCCAGGGGCGGGTGAAAGAGATTTTGGGGCGCTAGGACGTGTTTTTGCCGCTCTTGCTGGTTTTTCTTGCTTTTTTTTTTCCCCCCTTGTTTTCTTGCTCTTTCCCGTGTCCGCTCGCCCAGCACCTCCCGCCCGCGGCCGTGCAGAGCCGAGGGGGGGCGGAGCGCACCGCGGGGTGGGCGGAGCCAGTGTGGGCGGGGCCGGGAGGCGGTGCGTCATGAATATTCATGTAAGGCGTGACGCTGGTTTGGCGGGCTGGCGGCGGCGGTGAGCGCGGCGGGGCCGGGGAGGGTTCGGGTCGCTTTTAGACGCGCTGATGAAAACTCGGGTTTGTGGTTTTTTTTTTTTTTTTTTTTTTTTTTCCTAAATTATCGCTTATCGATATAAAAACACTGATTGTGCTGTTTGGGGCGGTTTAGCTTTAGTTGCTGCTTGGGTGCTTGGTGCAGGACCCCAGGGCTTTGGCAAACTGCGGCGCTGCTTTGTTTTCTGAAAAAAAAAAAAAAAACTAAAACCAAAAACAACAACAAAAAAAAACCACGTGTGATTCATTCTTAGCCTTAATTTTGCATTTTCCGGAGACTCCAGAAATACTGAGTTCAGGCCTCGGTGTTGCTCGGTTTGGGTTTACGCCTCAGCCCGGGGCCTCAAGGTTCTTTGCGTATCAAAAGCTGAGCGGGAGCTGTTTGCTCCTGTCACAACACCGAGCTGATGGATGGGGTGAAAATCTGCCCCTGTGAGACCATAAAAACCCGCAATGACCCTGGGAGTGTGTGTGATACGTGACGATTGTGCCTGTGTGTTTTGATAACCGAGTGATGCCGTTTATTTTCAGATTTTGGTGCACGGGTGCCCGAGCGTGGGAAAGCCTTTGAAGAGCAAATCCGTCCGGGAGACGCAAAGCCTGGCTCAGTGGGCACCGAGCAGGGTCCTGATTACAGGTCTGGGGTTTCTTTGTGCTTCTCACTGTCCCAGAGCTGCTGGGCTTTTGGAGTTAATGAGCCTGTTTTGAAGCTGCTGATTTTCTAGGCTGACTGTTAAACCTTTGTCCCCTTTAAGGAGGGGAAGAAATGTTAATGTCTTATCTCTTTATCTAGTCTTTCCTTCAGCCTTTTAATTGGTAAGAATATATCTTTTGCAGGAGTTTTCTTTTTGCTGCTGGTGTTAATATTATCCTTCCCCAAGGGTCCCGAATCCTGAACTTGGATGGTGTGTGCAGGATTTAGGGAGTGCAGCAGCCGTTTTTGATTCCAAAGTGTGTGGCTGAGATTGTAAAAAAAATGTATCTCCCACTCCCGATGCTGTTGGATTGGACAAAGGCTAACAATTTCAGAGTAAATTTTCCAAACATCACATAGAGATGAAGGATGCTGCCTTGTTCTTCCTCTTGCTCAGAAGCATTTGATGTGAGCCACAACTCCTACCTTGGGGAGAATTTTCATGGTTTTCCTCTCTAGCCCAACACAGGCTGGAAGGCAAGTTTCCTTTTTATTTCCTAATGTCACTTTTCAGGGTGTGGGAAACAAACTCAAGCTCTTCCAGCCAAAACGCAGCCCTCTTAGATAATGTCAGTGCGGGGGCAGAGGCACATTGTAAGCATGTTTGGCCAATAGGTGTTAAAAATGCACCTTGTCCTATTGCAGACCCCTTGAGTAACGTCTGTGCTGGGTGATGGTCTTCCCTGCCAGCTGCACAAGCAGAGGTGAGAGGGACCGGGGTGCTCGGGGGGGCTGTGCAAGCCTCAAGGGGAGCAGTGATGCCAGGAGAGCTTTGGTGCCCTGGTATCAGTCAGACAGAGCAGCCCATCCTGGCCCTGGTGTTGCCCTGTCATCCTTCTTGTCCCTTTTATTGAGCTTGGATTGAAGGGAGGCCTTTCCTTCCTCTTTAGTGCCTCAGGGGTTCACCTAGGGTATCTTATGTTTGTTCAATTGCTTTTTATTTGCTGTGCTCTGTTTAAAAAGCTTGTTGTAGGTCTTTGTATCTATGTCAATAAATTAAGTAGCATTTTACAGACTAAAATAAAGGAAATATGTATGATTTCTACCCAGGAGTTATATGTCCAGCAAAGACTGTCCTTGTATACTCTTCTCAGCCTTTAGCCTAGTGAAATGTTTATTGCGTGTTTAACAGCAATGTAACTCAAATGCCTCTTAAATATACAAGCTCTGCCCTTGTTCCTGCTCTGCCTGAGGGATAACTCCCAGCAGATGATAAATGGTATGCTCTGCTGTGCTTTACCAGAATAAATAACCATAAATGCCTTCCTTAGTGCCTACACAGAGCAAGAACCTGCAGCAGCAAGGGCATGGATGCTTTTGGGCAGCTCCAGAGCTGTGGATGATTGTACTCAGGTCACCAAACTGATCCCTTGGTTAGTCCACAAGACTACACTCTTTCTCACCATGACAAAACTTTTTCTGGATGGAGGTGGATGAAGTTAGTGTCCTGTATAAGCAGCTGTTAAAACTGGCCAGGCAGCTTATCTACAGAAATAAAAAATTCCCTTCGACTGGAGCTGTGTGCCTTTGAACGCAGAGACGTGTTGCTTTTTCCTTTCTTGATCTCAGTACAGGCTACTGAGAGGTGTCTGGGTCAGGGAAATTCATTTACCAGCCATCATCAGCCTCAGGGTTTGTGGTCCTCAGTGGAAGCTGAACTGCTGAGGACAATTTTGTTGGTACTGTTACCTTGATCAAGTGGCCCTGTTCAGAATTGCTTAAATGTTATGTGCTTGTTATCTATGGAAAGGAATGTACTATTTCCCCTTGTTAACCTTGAATTGTGAAGATGTGTAGTGAAGAGGGTGGACTAATCCATAGGCATATGGTACAGTTAATAAGCGAAGGACAACTAAGCATTTAATCAGCTCGGGGACTTCTTTCATGTCAAAATGTGTTACTTTAGAAGGAAGGACGTAGATATATCTAATTAATGAGACACTCTTATCCTCCTCAGTAATTTGGCAAATGTGCAGTAAACAGTTGTTATCCTGAGATGACTCAATACCTTACAAGGATAATGTTAGGAAGGGGCTGCTTGGATAAATGACCGCCAAAGACTCACCAAGGCCCTCACGCATGTGTAAATGGATTTTGCTAACACAGCAGAATCTAGTAGTGTGAGCAAAAGGTATTTTGTCAATCAAATGAATATGTAAAACCTGGGTGGAGTTATGTGTTAAATAGGTGGAGTTGTGATAATACCTGTCTGTTATTTATACACAGTGTATCTACTATAAAGTGTGCTAAAATTTGTGGATGTTTTCCACCTGCAGAATAAAGCAATATCTCCTCTCTAAATTAATTTTGGTTTCAAGAGTCCTTATTTTAGTAACAGTATGGCATTTCTAATTCTGCTCTTAGGTTTTCCCATTAATATGTGCTATTTGGGTAATTTGCCTTTGTGGTGTTTTGTAAATACTTTCCATTCCTAGCTCTGAGTACCTTTGCGTTTTTTTGTGGGGTTTATTTTGTTTGTTTGTTTGTTTGTTTTTTAATAGCGCATGAGCTACATGTTCCTTTCTTTGAAACCTCCTAAGCAGCTTTGGAGGAGCAATTTGCTTAGGACAGGGTTTAGGGAAGAGAGAAAAATGAGCTTGCTTCAATGGGCTGAAAGCAGGTTTTGGATAGAGCCTCATCTGTGGTTTCTCTCGGAGTGGATTTTAGCTTTCTAATGAGACTAAAATCCAATGGGTATTCGATAAGCTTACTAGTAGTTGTATTTGCACCACACTTGTGTAATAGCTTGTGTTGGGAATGGTGCTCTGCTAGCTGAACCTGCTCACTCCACGAACATAGGTGTTTAAAAATCAGTGTGCTTTTCTTCAACAGCTGGAGAGGAACCTGAGCAAGGAGAAGCAGCGGCATCAGAGGAAGAAGGACGTGCTGATCCGGGTGAGATGCTGTGCTGTTACCTGCATCCAGTGCTGGGAGTATTCCTGACCCGCACTGTTGCCTCTGCGCTGGGGTCCCCAGGAGGAGACACTCCAGGCTGCAACACAAAAACTCCAGCCTGGCTTTTGTATGCAAATTTCAAAAGCTTCTTAAGTTAAAACAGGACTTAAAACGATAGTCCCTTGAATAATTTGAAAGGTACATACTAGACTGTAAGTGTTAAACCATGTGGGGGTAGTGTATCACACCCCACTTCTTTCTTTGGTTGCTTACTGAAGCCTTGCAGGAAGCTTTCAGGCTTCAGTGGTTGATCAGGAAACAATTAAGCTGTCTTGGAGCAGGATTTCCAGCGAAGTTTCCCACTAATTTCTGAGGCTGGGGACTAAGCTCTGTGGCTATATTCTCTCTGAAGTTCAATTGATGGGGGTTTTTTTGACAGTCTCTCCGAGCAGTTTGCACTGATATGTTGCATTTGAGAGCTGATTATTTCTATACCTGCTTTCTAGACCCTCTCCACTTGACTGTTTTCAACTCCTGTTCCCTCATTACCCCATCTCTCCTCCTCTATAAACACTGTGTAAACAGGTTGCTGCTCAGCACTTTCTTCCTACCCTCTTGCCTGGCAGTGCCTGCCCTCGGCTCCCTCTTGCTGCTCCTGCCACTCCAGCACTTGGGGTCTTTGCTTTTTCATGGCAGCTGATAACATTCACACATCTCCCCTGCAGTTCTTGGAGCTGACTTGCTGTCTTGGGATGCCCTCTTTTTTTTTTTCTCCATGGGATTTCTGGAAAGTGCTAGGATTCATGATGCCAACGTGGTGCCCTTTTCATGGAAAAGTACCCTTTAATTTTTGTTTTTCTTCCGAATATGACTTTTTGTGGCATCTCAGATACTTAAATCCATACTGAGATCTGCGTTTGGGATGGAGCTGAGGGATTCCTGTGCATAGGGGCAGGTAGCTCATAGCAATATGAATAGGAGCAATGTTAGAGCTCAGTCTGGTGGTTTCCTGCATAAATGACCTTTTATCCTCTCTTTTCTCTATAAGGTACAATTAAGGTGGGATCTCTTGATTTTTTTGTTTCATTGTTTTTTAGGTGGCCTGTGTGCAGCTGATCAATGCCACGATCAACCCTTCCAATGAGCTGGACTTCAGACTTGACATTCATAGAGAGCTGATGTGTCCTGGATTTTGACACCTCCTTAAGGTGAGGAACAGCTCACTTCTGTACTCCATCTGGAAAGTGGAGGAGGCAGCTCTTGGTTCAGGCCTGGCTTTGGCATGGGGTGGGCGAGAGTAAAATAGTGTGTGAGGACCCTACTGTTGTCCTACTAACTCCCCAGCCCTCCTTGTGCGTGACAGACTCGACCAAAACCTTCCCATCCCTGCCCCTAGAAGTGGCCCTTGCACTCTTTCCACTCAAAGATCAGTTCTGGTATCATTCCTTGAGGCACTAAATCACCTCATTAGAAAGCAGAATGGGATTTTTAGGGCTGTTTTTTGACAGGAAAGTGAGAGGCTTTTAGGAGAAGGTGGCAGGAAGAAAGTCCGCTTGCGTGCAAGTCTATGCCGTTGGCTGGGCCCTGCAGCCCAAGAGCTGAGGTGGCCTCCTTCCAAGGGCTTTGGTGATGGCACGCATGTCTAGTGCTGCTTGGCTGTGGTCTGCAGTCAAATTACTGCTGTTCTTACTCTGAATTATTCTTAAAACCAGATATAAGCCTAAATTAACAAAATTACCATGATTCTTCTCGTGCCTTTTTGCTGTCAAATAGCAGAAGAGAAAATTCTTAAATTCTCTGGTTTTCACAGCTGTTTTGTCTTCTTTTTGTTGTTTGGTTTTTTTTTTTTTTTTTCATTTGTGAGGAAGACTTGTAATACTTTCTAGGGGAGAGAGAAAAGGATTATGATGCAGAGGATCCTTAGGGAAATCCTCATGCAAAATGTCGTGCTCAACTAAAGGGTTATTAAAAGCTTAAAGTTACTTGAAATTAGTTCAAAAATTTAAAAAAAAAGTTAAATAGTCTGCATCCCTTTCTTTTCTATATATATGTATGCATCCCTCTCCGTATGTCTGCCGCTGTGCTTAAACATGCCAAGGATATGACCCAGGAAGTTTTTGTGTAGAATGAGCTCCTTTTAAATCTAGTTATTTATGTGCTTCCTTGCAAATGGCTGCAGGGTTTATGACTTTCTGTAGTCAGATGATTGTTGACTCCAATCTTGTTTCAACAGATGGTGAACAGCAGAATCCTCTCCATCCTTTCCATATCCCTACAATTAATAATTTTAAATGTCTTGTTCTTCCCATTCACTGTCTACTCGGAGAAGCCCTAGTGCACTTACTTGTCCTGTATGAAGATGCATTTCTATGTTTTCCTTGTTCATGTTCTCTGAAATCTTGAAAATTTACAACAGGGCATCCTTCTGTAAACACAACAACAAATACTTCGTCATGAGACCTTTCCTTATTTGAACACAACTGCTTGCAGGAATATTAATGCTTTGTTGCTTTGTCGTTGTCTGCTTCAGAGCTCGCTATTGTAGGCTGGCTGGTGAATGTGACTCCCAAATCATAGTGTACAAGAATGGAGCTGACCCTGACTTCAGGTGCAAGCACCTCAACATAAGCCCTGAGCAGTGGGTAGGTAAGTCTTTGCACTGATTATGGCTTGGCTGAAACCAGCCCTGTCAGATCATGGTGCTAGAGCAAACCCTGTTACTTCATCCCTGTACTCACTGGAGCTGTTGGCTGTCAGAGCTTCTTGCTTTTTCTCTCCAGGCTGCTGCTTTGAGTTGAGCTGTCTTCTGGTGTTCCTTTTCAGCACGTGGGATGGGTATCGAGGCTGACCTTCACTACTTCATTTGGGACACATCTCCCATTGCTTAGGGCACAGCAGTGCCACCCGAATCAAATCCAGAACTCTGCTGTGTTTGGGCAGGTAGTGCTGCTGGGGTTCAGTGGTTTATATTGACAGCAGCTTCTGGAAGAAACCATTATCCTGTGGTGTCCTCCCTAAGAGAAGGGCATGTCAGTCTTCAGGCAGAGATTCTGCAGTAGCAGACAGTGGGCAGGTGGGGTTTCCTCAGCAAAGGCAGAGCATAGCCCTGCAGTGAGTAGTGCAGGGTATCGTGAGGTCTGTGGGATGTATGGGAAAAGGAAGAGGAGAGTGTGTTTACAGCAGTGCTTTTCTTAATTGTATTTCCCTTCCTTTTCTTTTTAGATAACTCAACTGATTAAAACCAAGGTGGAGAAAACTGAAACAGACTGGAGGAACTGGAGACAAAGTCTTTTTTGCTGATGCGATTGGGTAAAGGATAGGTTAGCAGGGGTCAAACTAAAGCCTGTTCTACCTGATGCTGGACTGCAAGTGCTGCCTCTCGCTTCTGCCTAATTGATTACCACTGTGCACGTTGATCTTTCTGACAGACCATGTGCTTACATCTTAATTTAAAAAAAAATAAATAAAAAAAATAAACAGGCTGCAGCTGTTACAGTGAGGGGAAAACCTTTGAGCTGTGGGCATGGGTCTTCCCTACCTCTTGAAATCACAGGCAGTCAGATATCGGATAGTCCCCTGCAGTTTCTGTCTGGTAGGAAATAATGGAAGCTGTGATGGTGTGGAATTGAAAAATGCCATTCCCATCACTGTGATGCAAGCAGCTGCCTCCAGACTGTGCTGGATCTGCGGTGAATCCATCCCAGCAAGAAAGGTGTCACTGCCTGTGTTTCAGTGTGAATGTGTGCCGTGGGAAACTTGGGGCCAACACTGCTGAACTGGAGACGGGCTGTTAGGATTTTTTTTTCACCTCATGGGTTAGGCAGAGGCATGAATCTTCATCTCTAATTGTGACTGAGTACTGCATGAGGGTGGGACAATCAATGTTTTGAGAGGTTTTAAGGAAAAGCAAGGAAGCCCCCCCCATCCCTCTATATATACATACTCCTTGTACATCCCTGCTCAGCCCTGTTTGTTGCCTCTGCAGCTGGACTCAGAACTGACTGTACGGAAGAGCTGCAGATTGAAATGAAGAAGACACCCAGGGACTTTGAGGAGAAACTACTTGATGCATGTAGTGAGAAGGAGATGCTGGACATGGAGAAGCAGCAGGTGACTGCGGAGAAGGAGCTGGCAAGCAAAGTCTCCTGTCGAGTGAGGAGGTCCATCTCAGGCTGAGACACGGGCTGATGAGTTGGGGGTGGGGTACAGCAGGCCAGAGACTGTTCTCTACAAAGAGCTCTGTCCCTCTCTGGGGAGAGGTGACATTGGAAGGAGGAGAAACAATGATTAGAGGCTCCCCAGGTCAGAGATTTGGGGAGTGCCCTCAGGAGGCTCTGAGCCACTTTCACTTAAACAGGTAGAGTCAGGAGAAAGATGAAGAGGCTTAATGACACTGGTGCTGCTTCTGGCTGCTGCCTGCTTTCTTCTTCTCTTGATGGTATCCATAGACCAGAGGCCAGCAGGATCAGTCCACAAATGACTACTTTAATTTCTCCCCTACCCCAGAAGTTGTCTCTGAGTTAGCTTTCCTTGAGCTGATTCTCATCCTGCTCTTCTGCTCCACAGGCAGCTCTGGTGTTTTGTTGTGGTCTGAAGAAATTTGAATTCTAGATTTAACGTGAATAGAGTTGTCTGCCTTGAATCTTTCCCTCCTGTACTTTGTCCAGCATTCCCTTCTCATCCCTTCTTTCAGCTCAGCATCACTCAGGTCTGCCCTGGAGAGACCTGGCTTATGTGAGACTGACCCTGGAGTGTCTTGCCTTTTTCCTGGACACACAGAGTCCCCCCAGAAGTTGATAAGCATATTCGCAGAGTTGCTTTTTTGTATTAACAAAAGTGTGGGTGAGAAAAAGCAGAAATGTTGTGACTGTGTTTTTCAGGATGCCCAGTGTTAGCTGGCCTCCTTGGTTCAAGCAGTGTCCTACTGCTGCACCGAGTGCTGTGTTTGGCCTGCAGCCCAGGCAGCCTGTATATACTTTGCTCTTTGGAGGGCAAAGATCAAACAATTAAGGAAACTTTTGGATTTGAATGTGGACATTTCTGCTTCTAAGTCCCTCCTCTGATAGAATAGAAAATGCACACTGGTTTGTTGGTTTTTTTTTTTTGAGAAGTATTGAATACTTTACCCCTGAGAAAAATAACAGAAAGCAAGATAAAGCCTTCTGCAATTGTTTATACGAAACAAATGATCTTGAAATAGAACTTCTATAGAAATCCCTTTCTTGTTGACTACATACTTTTGTAAGCAGCTCCTCTGATGAAGGAGAGGAAGAAAAATGTCTGTGTTATTGAGCCTTCTCCCTCTGGCTGTTTACGTTTGACAAGATGACACAGCACAGATTGGAGGGAGGGAAACATTCAACTAATTTTGCTGCAGTACTTGGACTATTGGGACTGAGCAGTTGGTTGTGGCAGATCCTGCTCTTCCTCTCCCCCATCACAAGGCAGGAGTGAGCTGACCTGGGGACACCTCTCCTTTCTGAGATACTGGATACTGTGGGCAAGAGGTTTCATCTCGACAGGCTTGTCCTGCCTGATGCCAGGTTCAGGTCAAAGTCTGAGAGAGGAGAGAAGGGTACGTGGTGAAAAGGGATCATGCAGCACAAGAGAAGGTCTGTCAGGGTCTCTTGAGTTGTCAAACAGAAAGGGCTACAGGCTGACCGTGGTGTGGATGCACCACCGTAAGAGCACAGGCTCTGGCTGCCTTGCAGATCCACATACTTTCTTCCCTTTCTATCCTCCCCAACACTAGGATTAGCAGTTGGTACAGAGAATTGGGGTTTTGCTTTCCATGCTACACTGTGTCTGTAGCACCCCCTTTGATATTCAGGGACATAGATTGCTGAGGATCTTGGAGATACATATATAAATATGTATATATGGAGATATATATATATATATATATATTCACTGGCTTCCTAACATTTGAGATAGACTTAAAGCTCACCATGTGCCTGAGGCCTGTTTCAACCACTGGGTTGGGAGCAAACTCTACTACTGTGCTTCCAGCTGTAGCTTGCTTGCCAGACCTCTTCTGAGGTCATCCTGCTGCAGGAATGCATCTTTCCCTCTGTTGGCTCACGGGAGGAGGACGTCAAGTCCCCAGGTGATGGTACGGGTCACCTGTTACACTGCCTTCTGCTCTTTTTTCACTGACAAGGGAAGTTGGCAACATCTTGTGAGGATAAGGATGGGGGTTTGAGGTAGATCTGATTATTTGGGACATGCTTCAGGGTGGTACCATTTGCTCTGGGCAGCTGAGCATGAGCTAACCACTAGCACGTTCTTGTTTCTGCTTCAGATGGAGAGGCTGAAAGAAGATCTTGAAAGCACCAGGAGAGAAATGGCTTCGGGCTCTTCTTCCCTGCCTGCAGCTTCAATTCCAGGCACCGCAGGGAACATTCAGCCACCACCCATCCACCTCCAGGGACTCTTTCTTTCCACCACCTCCCATGAGGAATGAGTATTCCTCCTCCTGCCCTCGGCTTCAGATTCAGGGGAGCCTGTGCACCTCAATGGCATCCATGGAGATCATCTCCAAAGAAGATTCTCAGCCAGCCATACAACAATGAAGACCACACTGGGCTAAGGTAGGACCTACATTTTAAACACTACCTTACACCTTGTTCTTTTACCTCAGCAAGCTCGTCCTTTTCCCTGTGTCTCCTCTCACACCATCACTCTGGCTGAGGGGTTTCAGGGCCCTGTTTTCTGCACTCTATAGAAAAGACAATTTTCTGTAGAAGGAGGTGATTTCTTCTTTGCCTCTGCATGCACAGAGGGCAGGGCAGAGCACACAGGGACCTCCTGAAGTGCTTGATCCTCCAGAAACCATGCAGACGCCCAGCTTGCAGCATGCCGGCATGTGCTTTCCTCTGCCACCTTTGAAGGCTCTGGTGGACTAGAAGGTCTTTATCACTGATCTGAGCAAGCTGGCTTAATAAGGTGGCAGTCCTATGAGGTCCTCTTTAGCTACAAAGTGAGGGAGGGCTCTCCTGGCTAAGCCGTGCCTGCAGGATGCCTGCATCTTGGTGTGACTCACGAGCAGCCTGCGAGGCAGAGCCGACTCGGCTGTAGGCAGGGTTTGTGGCTGTGGCAGGACTTTGCCCAGTGTGGGCTGCTGCTCACCACTGCTGTCTGTGCCTCATCTTGAGTATAGATATGTGCTTTGTGCTTTCTTGCTGCACAGTCCATCTCACTGCTGCTTGATTACCTGTCCCAGTAGTGCTGCTGAGTAGGCTGCCTGGCAGAAATGTCTGCTTGGCACCACATACAGCCAGTTACTGCTTTCTCAGGGTTTTTTTCTCCTCTCCTTCCTCCTGCATTTCCAGGTAGATGCTGGGATCTTGTGCCCCAAGTCTGAGTGCTCTCTGTAATATCTCTAACAACATTTATGGAGCTATTTCCCCACCTTTGCACTCAAGGGAGGAGAGCAGCAGGATCCGGGTGCTGCGTGTGTGCATCGCCTGGGGAGAGGGAGTAAGTGCTCCTGCCCTCACAATCTCTGTCCTTCACTCTGCAGCTCCAGGCCTTGCCCTTTGGAAGGGACTTGCCCCTGCCCTGAGAGGACAAGGTTTAGGACTGTGTTATATCCAAGCCATGCGGCTGTGCAATAGAAAGGCTGTATGAATAGGAGGGCTTGAAATGTGATGCACACAGACACCCCCAACCTTATGTTCCTTAAAAAGGTGGAAGGGGAGAAAGGTCTTTTGCCTTTGAGCTTTTCTTCTCGGTCAGGGAAAGAGAACTGCGTATTCATCAGAGCTATCTGTTCTATCCCAGAGTGCATGGCAGTTGTTGTTGGGTGCCTCACCCCATGGCCAGCCCTGACCCTTCTGGCTGCTGAAGGGCACGGCCCAGGACCTGCCTCGGTGGTGGCACCAGCTGCAGGGGCAGCAAGATTGCACTTAAAGGCCATTTTACACTGCGGCTTTATCAGCAGCTCCCTGCTGTGCTGCTGCCACTGAAAGCATCTGATTTGTGTTTCCCATATTTTGATTTCTAAGGTGAAAGCTGTTTTTCTGAGTGTCCAGATTTTTTTTTTTTTTTTTCACCTAGGTTTGATAGTTTGAGGTGTTCAGAAGTGAGCTGCGTGAAGGAGAACATACAGGTGTTTTGTGAAGATCTGTGGTTCTGTGCTCTAAGCTAGAGGTGCTTAGGACAGGTAGGGTGGCACTGGATGTTTCTGCAGCAGAGCCAGGTGCTGCTTGTCCCGATGGCGATGTTATTTACATTCGAGGTTAAAGCTCAGTCGCTCAGCAATTCGGGTCTCGGTGCAGAGCTGCCTTTGGACACCAGGTGGCACATGGATCTGTTGGTTTGCATGGAGGCTTTGTGTCCCTGCTGCAGCCTGTGTTTCCAGCCCTGCTTCCGAGAGGGTCAGAGTGAACGTGCAGTCCTGGGGGTGGATTTTGGGGGGAGCAGAGTCCTGGCCGTGCTCTGGGAGAGGTCTGGAGGTGGCCAGGGCAATGCAGCACAACCTCCCAGAGGAAGGTTCTGCCATGGGACAGGGACACCTTTGACTTGATCAGGTTGCTCAAAGCCCCGTTCACTCTGACTTTGAACGCTTGCAGTGATGGGACACCCACAGCTTCCCTAGGCAACCTTTTCCAGTGTCCCACCACCCTCCCTGTAAAACATTCTTCCTTAGGACCAGTCTAAATCTGCCCTCTTTCAGTTCAAAACCCTTGCCTCCTGTCACAACAGGCCCTGGTAAAAAGTCTCTCTCCATCCTTCCTATAAGCCGCTTACCTCAGCAGCCATCAGTAGCTCCAAGTGCTGTCCGTGCCTGTTAAAATCTCCCTTTGTTTGCAAGCATAGCCTTAATTAACGGGGCTGAGTGTTAGCTGCAGGCCAGGCACTGCTCCTCTGCCTGGTCCCGCTGCAGCCGGAGCAATCTGGAGCTGAGGGTGGCATGGAAAGGTGCTGGGGTGGGCTTGTGTCCCCCACGCTGGGAGCTGTCCCAGGCCTTGGTCCTCTTCCCAGCCCCAAAACACAGCTATGCAAAGTTAATTAACCCAGCAGCAGCTTTTCCTGGCTCTCAGGCTGTTCCCCAGGTGTTGTGGGATAAGCTTGTACAGGGTTTGTACATCCACGTGCGTGGGTGGGAAATTGGGATCGGAAAACCCTTATTGCTTTGGGGCACTGCCCTGTTGTTTGCTTCTGTAATTAATGGGACTGTCTCCCATGGACTCTTGCACTGTCTTCAGCTGCGTTGCGATGGGTCCTTGGCGGCTCCGTCCTGCCTCAGTTTCCCTCCTCGTAATTCCCCAGAGCAAACCCAGGGTGCAGTGTTGCTGAATGTATCCAGCATGAGTGAATGGTGAGGGCGGAAACCCTGTGGAAGGGGCCGCAGGTGGAGTTAGGGGATGTGAGGAGAGGGCTTCTGAGGAGGAGGGAGTACTTCTGTACCAAATCCTGCTCCTGGGACCGTTGGTGTCAGGGCGGAGCAGTGGTTGCTTTTACCTTGTGTCCTGCTGCAGCCAGAAGCCCGTACCTGATGCGTCAGAGGCTGTTAGAGCAGCCTGGCCTAAATGCTCTGTCAGACCTTCAGGAACAGCCCTGGAAACGCTGTCGCTGCTTACTTTCCAGCCCAGTTACCAGGAGCACTTTGGATGCTCTCCTGAGCCTGGTTTCCCCCGCAGAGGACACCCAGCCTGTCGGTCTGAGCAGGGGGAGCTGCAGCCAGCACGTGCTGACACTGGCAGGAGCTGATTTTTGGGGCGCACTGCCCAAGCCGCATCTGGTTTCACCCCTCTAAACCATGTTCCCCACCTTCTCCACCCCTCGGAGGACAAGGGGAGCTGGAGAATTGCCTGCTGTGTCTTCAGGAACTAACACAACCCGGGCTGGCTGTCCCTCTCCTAGGCTAAGGTGCAGCATGGCCATGGTGCTGTCGTCTTCTGCCCTTCTCTGATCTTTTAGGGACTGAGAGTTTGGGGAGCAGAAATGTGGTTTAAAGTTGTCTCCCTCTCTTTGTGCTGAGCAAAGGGACAACTTGGCAGGTGACAACCCATGGGGCAAATATTCATTTCCAGCTTGGGTGCTGGGTCTGGGAGAGCTCTTTGTTCTCCAGAGCTGCCCTGGTCGCTGCTCCACATCTGCTGCACACAGGGCTCTCCGGAGAAGGAGCTTGGGTTTGACCTGGTTGAGTGCTTTGTCCAGCTGTCTCAATTCCTCCAGGTTGCTGTGCTTAAAAACTGCTTTTGTCTCCTTCCTTTAAGCTTCTGGGGTTTTACCATTAGCAGGTAGACAGTAGGGAGCATGTTGTGTTTCCTCCTTGAGGTCTGGGCAATATAAGAGGGATTTAACAAGAGCAAAAGGTCTCCCCAGAGACTTTCTCAGGAGCAGAGTGGCTGTAGGAGCAGTAAGGACTGGGCATCCCCTGTGGGTGTTCTGAGAGGGGCAAAGCAAGGGTAGGGAGGGAGCAGTGGTTGTCCTCTACTGTCAAACTGCCCCCGAGAAGCAGGGCTGGCCTGCAGGAAACTAAGTTTCTGGAGGTGCCCTGTCACCCGTGTGCTCTGGATCAGCTCTGCAGCATGTGCAATTCCAGAAACACAAAAGCTGTTGTTGGGTGCCTCACCCCATGGCCAGCCCTGACCCTTCTGGCTGCTGAAGGGCACGGCCCAGGACCTGCCTCGGTGGTGGCACCAGCTGCAGGGGCAGCAAGATTGCACTTAAAGGCCATTTTACACTGCGGCTTTATCAGCAGCTCCCTGCTGTGCTGCTGCCACTGAAAGCATCTGATTTGTGTTTCCCATATTTTGATTTCTAAGGTGAAAGCTGTTTTTCTGAGTGTCCAGTTTTTTTTTTTTTTCACCTAGGTTTGATAGTTTGAGGTGTTCAGAAGTGAGCTGCGTGAAGGAGAACATACAGGTGTTTTGTGAAGATCTGTGGTTCTGTGCTCTAAGCTAGAGGTGCTTAGGACAGGTAGGGTGGCACTGGATGTTTCTGCAGCAGAGCCAGGTGCTGCTTGTCCCGATGGCGATGTTATTTACATTCGAGGTTAAAGCTCAGTCGCTCAGCAATTCGGGTCTCGGTGCAGAGCTGCCTTTGGACACCAGGTGGCACATGGATCTGTTGGTTTGCACGGAGGCTTTGTGTCCCTGCTGCAGCCTGTGTTTCCAGCCCTGCTTCGGAGAGGGTCAGAGTGAACGTGTGGTCCTGGGGGTGGATTTTGGGGGGGAGCAGAGTCCTGGCCGTGCTCTGGGAGAGGTCTGGGGGTGGCCAGGGCAATGCAGCACCTGCACAGCCTGCGTGAGACAGGTTTTTGGGTTGCAGAGGAGCAGAGTTGCATATCCATGGCCTTTCCTGCGTGAGCTTCTGCACTGGCCCAGCAAATCCTCTGCCAGCAAGAGTGTGGCCAGCTCAGTGACCAGAGCTCTGGCCATGGTCAAACTGACTTTTCTCTGCGCTAACCAGCAGCGGAACAGCCCTGTCACCCAGACATTCTCTCCTTGTGAGCAATTAATTTTCTCTCTTGTTTTATATGATTCTTTACATACTGCAGCCCCCAAAATCTGAGCTGTGCCCTGGGGCAGTGCTTGCCCTGGCTGTGTTGATATCACAGTGCAGCCTGGGTGCTTCAGCCTCAGGTGTGCTGCCCCAAATAATTAATTGAAGGGCGTGCAATCATTTTTTGTATTGGGCTGTTTTCCATGTTAAACAGCCTGTGGATAAAGTTCCTTCCATATTTATCTCTTTTATTTTCTGGTAAGTGTAATCTAGAGAAGCAGGAGGTAGTAATATTTAGAGACAATTAAATGGTTTGGGTTAGAAGGACCTTCAAAGCTCATCCACTCAAACCCCCCTGCCATGGCCAGACTCATCCTTCACTAGACCAGGTTGCTCAAAGTTCCGTCCAACCTGGCCTTGAACCCTTCCAGGGAGGGGGCAGCCACAGCTGCTCTGGGCACCCTGGGCCAGGGCCTCACCACCCTCATTGTACAACGTTACTTATGTCTGGTCTAAACCAACCTTCTTTCAGTTTAAAACTGTTGCTCTTGCCCTGTCATGACAGGCCCTGGTAGAAAGCCTCTCTCCATCTTTTTTATAAGCCCCCATTATATATTGAAATGTCTCAGTAAGGTCTCCCCAGAGGCTTCTCCAGGCTGAACAACCCCACTCCCTCAGCCCCCCTCCACAGCAGAGCTGTCCCAGCCATCAGACTGTTTCATTGGCCTCCTCTGGACCCGCTCTCACAGGTCCCTGTCTGTCTTGTGCTGGGGACCCCAGAGCTGGATGCAGTGCCCCAGAGGGGTCTCAGGAGAGGGGAGCAGAGGGAGAAAACAACATCCCTTGACCTGCTGGCCACGCTGCTGGTGATGCAGCCTGGCTTTCTGGGCTGTGAGCACACGTTGCTGGCTCATGTCCCATTTTTCACCCACCAGTACCCCCAAGTCCTCCTCCACAGGGCTGCTCTCAATCCCTTCATCCCCCAGCCTGTATTGAAACTGGGGATTGCACTCACCCGGGGTGCAGGACCTTGCACTTGGCCTTGTTGACCCTCATGAGGTTCACCTTACTCACTGCTCCAGCCTGTCCAGGTCCCTTTGGATGGCATCCCTTCCCTCGAGTGAATCAACCACACTGCTCAGCTTGGCGTTGTTTGCAGACTTGGTGAGGATGCACTCAATCCCACTGTTTGTCATCAGTTACAATATTAAATAGCGTTGTCCCAGAAGAGACCCTTATGTGACACCACTCATTACTGGTTTCTATTTAGACACTGAGCCACTGACTGTAACTCTTTGGATGCAGCCACCCAGCCAATTTCTTATCCATCTAATAAGATCCAGAGCTTTGCTAGAAATCAGTGACTCCTTAGCTCCAGAAGGCCGGATCCAGAAAGATATTTAACTCCTAACGCATGGAAATGTAAGATACCATTGCATTCAGTGGGACTTCATACACCTGGCTAAGGGTTAGGGCTCTGAATACCTTGTGTGGACCCAAACCAAAGTTTCTCTTGAGAGTGAAACTTTTTTTTTTTTCTGAAAACACTGACCAGCACTGTGTACTAGCTTACAAAATGTCGTTTGTTGGTTTGCTGGGTCTTCCAGGTGCTCACAAATGCATTTAAAGCTTGCCACGTGCTCTTCACACGTCATCACATTTCCAGGCTGCTGGGAGGCATTGCTTCCTCTTGCTCATATATGTCTTGCTGCAGGGATCCCTGGTACAAGTGTCTCTTCTTGTTGAGACTCCCTTCCTTTTCCAGCCCAGTGTCCCTGCTTCCATCACCTCTCTGGTGGGGCAGAGGCCTTCAGGATTCTGCAAGTGTATCTCCTCCCTTCCTCGAGCACCCATGTGTGTTCTGACAACATTGGCTGAGGATCGGCAGTGAACAGGGGCAGAAACTTCTCTCTTCCTCTGTCGCTCAGGAGTGTTCTCAGATAAAATGGAGAAGTCTGTCCACAAACCTGGGAGCTGGTAAATCCTGGTTCGAAAGCGCCTGCTGGGGAGAGAAAATTGGGGGAGCTCACCCGCTGTCCTTCCAGCATCACAAAACGATTCAGGTTCAGGGGGTCCTCTGGAGGTCTCGTGTCCATCCATCCTGCTCCAAGTAAGGCTAACTCAAAAGTTAGAGATTGCTCAGGGCTTTTCACAGTCAAGTTTGAGTCTTTTTGAGGACTGAAATTGCCCCAGCTCCCTAGACGTACCTAGGCTCACTTCTCTGGTGTCTAATCACCCTTGTGAAAATATTCTCCTTATATCAAGTCAGGGTTTCCCCTGTTGGAGCTGGTGGCTGTTATCTCTTAGCCTTCTTCCTACTCTCGCTCCCTCATTTCTCCTGGAGCGATGTTGGGGAGCACACACTAACAGCATCAGTGTACTTTGACAGGGCTCTGGGAGCAGTGCTGGTGAGAAACTGAACGTTTATTTTTTTCAAAGGAGGCAGAACCTCTTTGGGGAACTTTCTCCCTAGATCTTTTAAGTGTTTCATCTCTGCAGAATACATGGGGTACCCGCTCCCTCTGTCGCACCCTAGGAGAGGGTTTTGAGCCTGTTCCCTGGAGTTTCTAGAAACCAAAGTCACTCCTCTTAGCACATATGCAATCTGTAAGTACAGGCACAGTAGTGGCTGGTCTGGGAGGTACTTGTACATTCCTGGTGTTTCTCACCCACATGTACTGGTGTCCAGAGAGAAGAACTGTGACCAGCTCGGAAACTTTCTTTAGCACAGCCTTGTATTTTAGCAAATGATGTTTTCAGCTTGCAACAGGCAATGGTGTTGCCTGTATGGCTGGGGCCGACCTTGCCTTACCCTTTAGGGCACGCAGCACTTTTCCTGCCATTGCTGTGCCATCCCTGGTGCTCAGGCACTGGTTCAGCTGCAGCAGACGGCCTGCTGGGGATGTTTTGCCGGGTGGAGGTGACGTTTCTAACAGAGGATATGTAGAAAAGTCAGTGGGAGCAAGGTCGAGCTGTGACCCAGGGCTGCCTCCTTGGGAGTGAGGAGCTGCTGCTGGTCCCCGTCGGTGCTGGCGCAGCAGTCGGCTGCCAGCGCTCACTTTTGGGGGGTGCTGCAGTTGATGAGTGGGTGCAGCTCTGGGATGCAGCTCCTGCCTATCCTGGGCTGCTGCCAGGCTGCAACCACTGTGGAAAGCACTTGGGATGTTACTGGTGGGCTCTCCACAGGTGTGTGCTGCTTACTGGGAGATACTGGGAGCCAAACTGTGCTTGTAGTGCCCGCAGTGCACATCCCTGGTGTTTGCACTGGGGTGTCTGCACTGGGCAGTGATTTTTTTTGCAATTTGACCTTCAAAAAGCCCCTGGGTGAACCCCAGGTTAGGGCCAGGGGTGCCCTAGGGTTTTTTGGCTTAATGTGGATCTTGGGGTTTGTCTGGCCTTGAAAAATGGGGGGTTTTCTCTGGGATCCCCTTGCTGGGTGTTAATATTTCCAGGTCCCTTGCAGTGCTGCTTTCATCCGCCAGATGTGCGCAGTTGAGCCACGTTGGCTCCGTTCCTGGGGATGAGGTCAGAGAATTGGGATTGGGAGAAGGGATCAGCTGCTTTCCTGACGAGGAGCTGACGCAGCTCTGCATCCTCCCCTGCATCCCCCCATGTCCCCCCCCCGTGACCTCCTTTTCCAGACAAAGAAGGGAAGTGCCGGCTGCGTGCGCATCCTGTCCTGCGCTGCTGGCAGCCCCAGCCCCCCTTCTTCTGCTCTGCCCCCCTCCCTCCGTCCCCGCTATGAACCTGGAAAAAACAGCTCAGCTCCCATTTCAAGGAGCCTTTGTCCTGTCAGACAGCCTTCTTTGGGTGATTTGTCTTTCTTTTTTCTGCCTGTGACAAGACCATAATTGGGAGGGGGTTTCCATCTGCTCCTGGAGGGAATCGGGGTGGGGGGTGTTCTGCAGGGAGAAATCACCTGCCCTGGCACACAAAGGCAGCTCTTGCCCCCCAGCTGGCATCAACAGCCTTTTGGGTGCTTAGTTACTAGGCAATTTGAGAGCAGGAGCAGGGATTAGCGGTATTTTGTGTCATTAAATTAAACGGGGATCTCTGGAGCACTGTGCAAGCCCCTCTCTTTATGCCTCTGTTGTGAGGCTCCCCACATCTCTCCAGTGCACCCCTGTTCTCTCAGCCCGTTGTGGTTGTGCTTGTGTAGTGTTCTTCTGTTCCAGTACCCCCAAACCCCCTTCCCTGCTGACATTACAGGCTCAGGTGGCTGCCCAGCAGTGCCAGTGCACCCCAGTCCTGCGCTCCCACGGAGCTCTGCCCGTCTCCATTGCTCCTGCCCCGTGGCACCGTCTTACCAGGCTGGGATCCACCCTGATGTCTCACTTGTGCTTTCCCAGCACTCCCAGACTGAGTCACCTAGGGCGTGCTGGGAATACACCCGTGTTTAGTAGCCCCAAAGCTATGTTTTGCAATTTTTTCAGTCCCTCATTGCTCACAGGATGAGGTATTCTGGCACTTCATCTTTTGGTACCACTTTCTATGTGGCCACAGTGCAAAAATTATTTCTTGTCAGCTCTGACCTGCCAAGGTCCCTACTATCCCAGTGCCAGTCTTGCTTGTCTTCTGCCATGCAGGATGACACGCCTGGGGTTTTTGCAGCTGTAGAAATTAATAAAATCAAGCCTCCCTGAGTGTCCCATCCCAGGTGTCCCGCTCTCTGCCTGTGCCCAGGCATGCTGCTGCGGCGGGAGCATCACCGCAGAGCTCTGGCTCTGGGTCAGCCTCACCCTGATCCTGCAAAAAGGACTGTTCTCACCTAGAAAAGGCCTTTAAAGGTATTTTTGTAGTTAATTATCTAGCCAGTGGGACCTTCTGTGTGTGACTTTGTGGCATGTAAGTGCTGGTACCCCAGAACTGGTACTTGTCAGGCTCTGGCCTTGCAGGCTGGATGGGTAAAGCTATGGTGCCAAAATGTGTGCTGGGCACCCTGCTTCTCATTGAATTTAATCTTTCAGTGTTAGGATATTACCTACTGTCACCCATTTAAATGTTTTCTCTCTTATTCTTTCATTTTTTTAAAACTCCTTCCTTTTCTTCCTCATTCTCCTTGGTGTTTCAGTTACTGCAAAGGACTCGGGATCCTGGATCTGTTTGTGGTTTTTGTCTCATAGCTGAGTGATGCTTTTTTGGTCCTTTTTGAACTGATTCTGGGAAAACTACCTGCGAGATTCACATGGGAATTTAAGCCTCAAATTCATCTGGATTTGGCCCTGTGCTGACATATTCCTGGCTTGGAAGTTGGACGCTCAGGAAGCGGCTTGCAAGGTATCCATGTGCTAATTTTGTATGTACCCTTTGGTCCCTAAACCTTTCTTAGGGACAGCATCTGGTCACCCCAATTCAGGGGGGTGCTGGTTCTCCCCCTATGTCTGTCTTGAGCCCTTTCTCCCATCCCTGGGCCTGGGCATATTCCCACAGGAGGTAACACCAGGCTTCGGGCACTCACCCTGATGTGGAACTTAATACAGATGAAATTTGGTGATTTTTCTCAAGCCTGGAAAAATATGTAAATGTGGAGGGTGGTGACATTAATTGTTGGGAGTTGTATGTGTGAAACATGCTGGATTTAATACAAAATACTATGCTTTTCCTAAGAATTGTGAATGTAACACAGTGAGTAAAAGCAGAATATAAATGGGGCGGTGGGGAGAGGCAACCAGGAGAGCTTAGGAGGCAACTAGGCTGCTGAAGTTTTTTAAGCAAATAATTTGGCTCTAATGACAATTTAAATGACCCAGTAAGGGCTGGTTGGGGTCTTTTTTTCTGCCTGGAGCCTGTGGGGCTGGGGCAGGGCTGGAGAGCTGCTCCCCCTCACAAGCGGCTCATCCAGCGGCAGAGGGTGCTCATGCACTGCTGTGCAAATCCTTCTTCTCCCTCAGCCATCTTAGGCAAAGTGTTTTCCTTCCCTGCAGTCTCCATTTTATGTTTCTGACGCAGAAAATAAAAAGGTTGTTGGGGGGGGGGGAGAGGGCGGGATGGGGGAATAACAGGATGTGCCAAGGCAAAGCTTGGCGATGGATTTCTCAGCACTGGGGCAGGATGTGGGGCTGGGGAGGGGAGAGGCTGGGAGCCCTGATTTGTACCCAGAGGGATGCAGAGTGTGAGGGGCTCTCGGGGAGGGGGCAGGATGCCAGAATTGGGATGGGGGGGGGGGGGGGGGGGGTGTGCAGTCTGCAGAGAGAGCTAGTATTTCAGATGAAGTGCTGCTTGGAGTGCCCCCCTGCCAGCCCCCGAGGCTGGATGGTGCCCCCCCCCCCCCCCTTCCCTTGCTGTCACAGGATGCTTTAGCTGCAATGCTGCTTTTTTTTTAACCCCCATCTCTGTAGGAGTCTGAGCAGACCCCGCAGGCTGCCTGGAAGCAGGATGGAGCTAAGGTTTCACTGCAGAGCTGCTCTTGTCTGGGCTCTCCTCAGACAAGAGGGACTTTCCTGTTTTCATTGTTCAGGACACTGAGATCTATTCTTACTCTTTTTTTTTTTTTCTTTTTTTTCCCTTCCTGCTTGTGCACATTGGGGGAGTGGGTTGTTGCCCCAGGTTTGTTACCAACAAATCCTGGCAGCAGCACCTTGCCCAGCTGTGGGGAGAGCCTCAGGAGACCTGCCAGCATCTGATCTTGAGTAACTATTGTCAGCGTCTCTATTTGTAGTAACTGTTTTTGTGTTATTCATCACCGCATCCTTCATGTTGTGCAGTGGAGTGCTTAGGGGCGAGCGGGCATTTCCCAATCCAGGATATGAAGCAAGCCAGCAAACCAAACTGCTGGAGGCTTCTTCAACAGTGAACTTGGCTGAACCAACCAGACAAGGATGGGCTTGGAGATGGACTCGGGCATCTGCGGTCCGCTCCCGTTGCCTCCTCTGCAGGCTCTTGCTCTGCGATGAGCACAGCCCATCTTTCCCTTCCATGAGAGGTGGTTGGCAGGAGACAGTTTTATAAACCTCTGTAGGGCTCCTGGGTTTGTCTGGGGTGTTTTTCAGACTAAGGGGGGCAGTTTAAGGGTTTTCTTTTGTGGCATCTGTTGTTCCAATACCTGCAAACCGAATTGCTAGGTCCTCACCCTTACAGGTTATGCACACAGAGATAGCAGCTGGCATAAATGCATTCAGTTCCCTTCAAACCAACTGAAGCTGCCAGCTCCAAAACCTGCCTGAGGTGTGGATTAAGTACTCCGCTGTTTCACCCAAATCCATCAGCAATCTTGAACAAAAATCCCTGGGGAAGGCTGGCTTGTTTAAAGTCTGTTTAGATGAGTCTGCACAAGCAGCTCATCTGTCAGTGGTGGGGAGATGGAGGACATCTCTGCAGGACTGCTCAGTCACTCCCTTTTATACACATTTGTTCCGTCCTGGTTGCTCTTGTGCTTATCAGGTCCTAGACCCTGTTTTTCTCAAGTTCTTACATCCCCTTTTTTTGCTTTCCTTAGAAATGTGATTTTGCAGCTTAATGGAGCTTTTTGTTTTGCTGTTACCCAACTGCTCTGTGCTTTTTTTTTTTTTTTTTTTTTTTCCCCCCCACAGCCATGCACAAGGATGCTTCTCAGGAAGATAATAAGCATCATAGGAGCTGCTGTGGTTTCTGGGGATAGCTAGATGAGTATCTTTTCCTTTAAATATCCTAAGCTAAAGCGCCCTTTGTTTGTGATCTTGTGCATGCCCACATATACGAAAATAGGTCAGCGGTTCTGTGCCGGCAGCAGCCGTGCTGTCTGCTCGCTGGCCCGGGGCGTCAGCGCGGCTGCGGGGGGAGCAGCACAGCCATAGGTCAGCTCCGAGGGAGGGATGCTCGTCCTCCCCTGCCTTGTTACTGGGCAGCCAGCGTGCTGCTCTGGGGACCGGTGGGCAGGGTGGGGGGGACAGCCGGTGGGGGGGACAGCCCCTGGGGGTCTTACAGGCTCCTGCAGCCCAAGGTGTCAAAGGGTGAGCGCTCGGTGGAGCTGCTCAGGGTTGGGTTTCTCCGTGCTGCTTCTCCCCCCTCCCCATGGTTGGGGTAGAGCAGGAAGGGTTGTCTTGGCTTTCACGGTCACCCTGGGACAGGCACAGACCCCCGCCCTGCTTGTTCCAGCCTGCGATGAAGCAGTGAGTTTTCAGGCACCTAAGCAGTGGGTTGCCCCAGTCATCCCTCCCCTGGTGTGGAGCTGGGGGAGGCAGTTGGAGTCTCAGGACAGGGTGCAAGCCCTTTCCACGCTCCTCTGTAGGGTCTCAGGAGCATTGGTGGGGCCATTCGTGCTCCCGGAGAAGGGGGTGTCTGTGACAGCCCGACTCCAGTGCAACGCAGAGGGAGGGGGCCATTGACAAAAGGCAAGAAAGTCTAAAGACTGTGATGATGTTGGGCACCTTTCAGTCACTCTTCCAGCACCAAACCTGCAAGCGCATCTCCTGAAACACTTCCCCTCATGCCCCTCCACAAATCCTTTGGCATTCAGTGTCTCGCACTGAGCTTTGATGTGTGGGTGGATATTGTCAGGCCTGAAGTCTCTGCATTAATTTAAGGCAATAGATCTCTTCAGCAAGACTGTCTTGCTCTGTGTGAGCGAGTTGCCTGTGTCTGTATCTGTGAACACCAGGGAGAGCAGCAGTCTGATCTTTCCCAAGCCCTTTGTAAAGACGTTTGCAGCATGGGGCAGCCAGAGCTTTGATACTTATTAGGAGAGCAGTTCTGGTCAACCCTTGCACGAAGGAAAGCTGCATGGTTACACAAGGGATAGCTCCTTCAACAGGTCATGGCTCACCTGGATTTGTGTAGTCAGAAAAGAAAGACCAGGAGGGCAAGAGAAGAATGAACCTCCAAAGAAAAAAGGGGAAGGAGAGTGAGTTTGGACAATCCTCTGCCAGTAGGACCAAGTCAGAAACCATTTCTCTTTGGTGCTCATCAGGGGGTTGTTCCTTAAAGCTTGACTGGTGATTCTTCCTGGGCCCTGGCAGGTGTTTTCCTGGGGTTTCTCTTCTTGACTTACAAAAAGATCAAGACTGCAGTCCTGAGGCTGTGCTGAGCACTAGTGCGGTGCAGATGAGTTTCCGTGCCTGACCTTTCATGTAAGGATGGGAGAGACATGTAGTCAGGGAGCTATTTGTGCTGTGCACCTCTGGGACTTTGCCCTGGTGCCGGTCCAGGCAGCTCTGTCCCACTGGTTAGTGCACTTCTCTTGCAGAACTTGTTCAAGCTGCTGCTGCAGCTGGTGAAGCTCAGAAAAAATGCAGGTCTGGCAGGGTATGAACAGTTTGGGGTAGCGGTAAGTGACTTTTCCTCTAGTCAGACAAATAGAGATCACATGAGCATCTTCCCCTAACACACAAACTGCATTTTTCACAGTTTCATTCCTTGTGTGATGCCCCAACCCATCTCCTGCTTGATTTTCCTTGCAGTGTCTCTGTGTTTCCCCTGCCTAGTGTTGCACAAAAGATGACGAGACAGGTTAACATGCGCACAGATTTATTCTCAGGATCTGATGCTAGTGGCAAGCATCAGCTACCACAGTGAAAGTTCCTTTTTGGGGTGTGTGGAGGGGGAATAAATGGGAGAAAAGAGAGAAAAGGGAAAGGGAAAACTCCCCGGTGGCCACCTGGAATGAGAAACAGCAGGAGTCTCCCTGAATAAGCACTTTCTCCAGTGTACCAAGGAGTCCCCCAAATACTTTTACTGCAGTAACTCTTTGGACTCTTTAGATCTTGCTCTGTCTCCCCGTTGTCAACCCTCAGGCTGAAAGTGTTGATTGGAGCAGGCTTTGATTAGGTGCAGATGCTGCAGTGCTAATTTGCCCATTAAGCTTAGTGCTGCCCATCCTTGGGTGATGTTTAGTGGTTGCTTTAATGACCTTTGTCTCCTATTGTTGTCTACCGGGGGCCCTGGTATGAGGTTACAGCTTACAGCACTAAGCAAGGGCAGGAAAAGGAAGATCAGCTCTCCCATCAGTGGTAATTAACTATTCTGCTCTAATTGCTTCCCACTGCAGCAGTACAGCACAACAGACCTGAGCTGCAGGGCTGATTTAGAGGAGATAAGGGAGAGGCTTCAGAGTTACACAGGTTATAGCACTGTGTGGGCTCAGGGGTAGTCTTAGGTCTCAATTTGTAAGCCCTTACACGCTCTCGAGGAAAATAACACTGGAAAGTCTCTTCTGCCTGGTTTGTCTGCTATACACCCTGTCTTACAGCAGGGACTTTATTTCCGTAGTCTCATTTTCTTCCTCATCCTGCTTCCTGATAATGTTTTTTAGCATCATTATGGCCAACCAGTGATGAATTTAAATTCTGTGCTTAATTTGTCAA